TTTAAGAATAATTACATTTTTCGAGAAAGTATATTGAAATTTGTATTAAAAATAATTGAATCTCTGTAAAAAAAATTTGATTGAATTGAGAAAAGTTTTTGAAAATAATTGAAATTTTTATAAGAATTTTATAAAAATTTTTGAATAATAATAATTAAATTAAATTATTAATAATAATAATTGAATTGTAAAATGTAATAAAATTGAGTAATTTAATTGAAATAAATTTTTAAATTAAAAAAAAATTCTTTTGAATATTAGAGTAAAAGAACTTTTTGTTTCTTTCTTATTTATTTGTTAATATTATTTATTTAAATAAATTAAAAAAATGATTTTTTCTTGTTTTATTTTATTTATTTATATGACAGCCCTTAATTATTATTATTATTTATTACTCTCTAAATTTGAATTAGGAAAAATGTTTACTAATTTCAATTATTGACTGAATTTTTGCTCCTGAATTAGTAAATTTGACTAATAAATTAGTAGAAATTACTATCTATTAATAAAATTTACTAATTCAAAAGGAAAAAGTCAGTTATCATATATCATACAATATATATAGGTATTATATAAATTAGCCGAATCTTTCTACCTCTTTTTTTCCTTTATATTTTCTTCTAGGCGCGACACACGATATACTATATATGATTTCATTCATTACTTAATGGCTCAAAAATCGAAATATCGATTTATTTTGAAAATGAATTCTCATTTGCAGTTAATAAGATTAGGGGTAAAGACATACCCTCGACCTGGTCTTCCTAACACCTGCTGCTATTATTAAACCCGTTTTACTGTGAGAGAAGAAGTTTTATTACAGTAGTACAATTACACATGCTAACTCTCTCTCCGAATACGAAAATACTCTTCGATATTTTCGGTACAATATTCTATACTGACTTTCCTACTTCACAGAGAGTGTGTAATAATAATCTCTTAAAATTTCAAACTAATCTCAATTTTCAATGCTCTGCTATTTTCTTCGCAGAAATATTTCCCAAAAGAAAAAGAAAATATTCTGCAATAAAAAATTCTCTCTTCTTTATTGCTCATGAATTTTTTTTTATTATTATTATTTGGTTCGAAAATTTTTATTACAGAAAAGAAAAATGCTAAATTAATTAAAAAGTAATAAAATTAGGGGCAATTAATTTAAAAAATATTTATTATATTATTTTCTTTAAAATATTAATTGATTTGAAAATATTTATATATATTATATACCGAAAAGAAAAATTTAATTTCGAGTAAGAGATATTTTAATTAGTTTTTTTTAAATGTAAATATTTTTTTTTTACTATTTTATTTTTTTTATAGATTAAAAAAATTGAAAATAAAAAAAAACATGTGTAAAAATTATTTATTTTCTCGTTCCTTAATTTCGTTATCACAAACCTATGAATGTCTCGGGCCTAACCTGGGACAGAGTTTCTTTAGGCTTCTCAGTACATATTAGATCAAACAGCTTACGCTTAAGACTCTTAGATGTCTTTCGCGTTTTATGAAACTTTTCATATATTTAACATTCGAATGGAATTTTATCAAATATTTTCACATCGGATTTAAAAAAAAGATCCAAAAATAAAAAAAAATTTTTTTACCAAAATCGAAAAATTTTAATCAACTAATTTCAAATTTACCACTTAACCTATTGTTCAGTTTTTATTTTTATTTCAAAATAAATAGAAATAATTTTCACTAAATTAAAATTGCCATTTGTATTAATTTTCCATAATTCTTTTTATTTTTTATTATTTTTAATTGTTTTCCCTTATTTTTATTTATTTTCCGAATAAGTTTATTAGTAAAAATGATTATTATAATTATTTATATTTATATTATTATTCAATTACAATTATTATAATAATATATACGAATAAATAAATAATTATTTATTCCATTCTTTTTCTTATTTTTTTTATTTCTCAATTATTTTTATTTATTGTACTACTTTTACCATTTATTTATTTATAATTAAAAGTACAATGATCCTAAATTTATGAAAGTTCAAAAGAACGAAATTATCTATTCTTTCTTCCAAATAAATTTTTATTACAATAATTTTAATTAACAATAAAGAAAACTTAATTATAAAGTTTCTAATGAAAAATTTAAATTTCAACTTCTATTCAATCAGCAATTTATGAAAATAATTTCCATAAAAAATATTTTGTTGATCTGAACGTTCAAAACTTGCAATTATATAAAAAAAAATATAAATTTACATTTATTTGAATTATTTTGTTTATTTAAAAATATTACTTTTACTGTTTTTAATTTTTTATTATTAACAATTATAATTATTACGTATTCCGCTTATCTTTTGTTATTTTTTTTTACTTTTATTGTTAAAATATTTGTAAATTATTGTTACCATTTATTTATTTATAATTTACCATATTTTACATTAATTTGCATTTTTTACAAAAATCACAAATTAATTTGCATTATTTTGTTTATTTAGAAATATTACGTTTATTAATGTTATTTGTCTTTCTCATTATTCTTATTATTTTTTATTATTAAGAAACTCAATTTAAATAAAGAAAAAGACAACAAAAAAATTGCATAATAATCACTTTTCATGAATGTTGCTTGTGCATAACAAAATTTTTTTTTACAAATCAGTTTAAGTGTCGTGCATTTTTATGAGATTATTAAACTTCGCCTTGAAATTAACATCTCTTACATGATTAATGGAAAATTAATTTTCACAAAGTTCGTTGCTAATACACCATAAATTAAGAACAAATTTCCAATTTCAATTTTTAGTAAATCCACACACAAAATTTTTTTTAATAAATCAGAAATATTTATTAATTAAAATTTCCCTCAGAAACATTTTTGCAAGCAAATACATTTTTTTAATTATTCTTTTAAAAAAAATTTAATTAAAAAAATATTTCACTTTCTATTCATTAGAATAAATACTAAATTGAACGAATTAAAAAAAGCGCAAAAAAATTAAAAGCAATAAATTGTTAGATAAATTAATTGTTAATTCATATAATAATTATTTATTTAATTAATTATTAAGTTAGTTATTAATTAAAATACTATTAATTATTATAATAATTAATTATTAAATTAATTAAATTAATTAAATAAATTATATAAATTAAATAAATTATTAAAGTAATTCATAATTAATTATCAATTAATTGTTAAACTTAAAATATTCTAATTTACAGTTTTCGTGTTAGAATTGTTCTCGATTCGAATAAAAAAGATAAAAACTCCTTTAAGGCTAGATAATAACTTATCAGTGGATAAAACCTATGTGTTATTAATGTTTCTTCGAAAATGATAAAATGATTTTTTTTACAAAGAAAAATCATTTGCAATAATAAAAAAAATGTTTGTGTAATATTATTAATTTCAAAATAATATTTTCACTTGTGTAAAATTAATCAAATATTATAATATTGATCAATTTATTACAATTAGAAATTTATCATAGTCATGAAATGTAAATACATTTGTATCAAGTATATATAACAGAGAGAGGTCCATGAGAGAATATCAAATATTCATTTCATTTGCAAATAACGTCAGAGATGCTTTTAGTCCCTCCCTTCCCCCCCGAATATTAAATGGGACACCAACTAATAAAGAATTCTTGTATATATGAACATTCGATAAAGTATTCTTTTTAACGGTACATTATCAACGTGTAAATTTAAAGCTTTTTTTTCTCTCCCGTTTTCCTTTTTCTTTTTTAATATAAAACAAATAACCTAATAGAATTATTTTTAGACGCATTTAATTACCAGTGAAATATTTTTATCACTTATCAGACATTCTACTTTTAATCTATTTCCACTCATTGTCATAGATAAAAAAAACGCACAATTATTTTGTCAAGGGTAAAAGAAAACGGAAAAAATAAATATTTTTTGATAATTTGTAATAGAGTCAAAAAGTTTTTTTTTTGAGGTTATAGAAGGAAGGCGAATATAGAATTTAGTCATGCTTAAAAAAGTAAACAAACGGAAAAGAAAATCATACCAAAAACAGAAGGTCGTTCACACACACGTCACTCGTTTACTCTCACGTTCTACTTGAAAATAAATCCATTTTTTTCCCAGAGAGACCCTCTGGGTTTTCCCGAAGATTTTCCCCTGAATTTATCAGCCCCTTAAAACACCCTTACAAACCCCTCAACAATGCATGTCACTATAATACTTTATCACGAATAAAAAAAAAAGAACATCATCCCTTATAAAAATTAGAAAATACTCGAGTTCATCTAAAAATAGTTGCAACACCCATGAGAAATTATTTTTAATTAGCTAACGATTTTGTATTAAAAGTCAAACTCTTTTTCTCTCTCATTAACTGGTTATTTATTTTTTTTTTTTTCTGTAATTTTTTACCCGGGAAAATCGCTCAGAAAAAGAAAAATATTTGCACTAATTTTTCAATGAAAATACAAATTGATTTTCTATTGAATTATAATGGTGCCACTCCCAAAGTATAAATGAATTTAGAGAATATAAAATCAAATGAAATATGTGAAATGAATTAATCATTAACTTACGTTATTTCTCCCTCGATTGACAGAAGGCCTGGGTAGTCTCGTGCTGACAATGGTCGGGCTCATTTTGAGATGATGATGAAGATTCCAAAATGTTGAACACTTGAAATGCCTAATTGTCATCACTTCACTATGACATGGACGCACATTACTTGTTCTCAGGTACAAACTTGTTGAATCGCTATTTATATACCGTTTTATTTTTTTTTTCACATAAAAAATATTAAGATTCCGTGTACGTTCGTCCGATCCATGACAGACAGTCGAGATCCACCAAGAACCCGACATACACAGCTTATTGTAAGGTGTAATACGCATGCGCGCAATAAGCGCACAACGGAAAATTCGGGTTAAACCGCGCGAAAAATTTGAATTTACTCACCCATCATGTGAATGAGACTTTAATTTCCAAAAGAGAGAAGGTGGGGATGAGAGTGATACAGTCACTAACAAAAGTAAATGTTATTCGCACGTGCGCAGACGTTAATTATGGATTAAAAAATATGACAGATGTCAAGAATTAATACATTTTTCACAGTAAAAAGTGTATTTTAATTCATAAACTAAAATGAAAGAATTAATTAAGAAAAGCAGTTGTATTTCGAAATGGAATTTTTTATGACAAAAATGTGCAATTTAACAAAAATTCCAAAAATTATAGTCAATGAGTGAGGATATTATATCTTGGAGGTATCTTTGAAAAAATAAAATCTAAAACTTCTATAAGAATTATAGAATAATTACCAAAAATGATAGAACCGACAAATGAAGTGTTAAAGTCCAATGAAAATGATGATTTTTATAATTCTGATGAAAGCGAAAAGCCTTGTGGCGAAAGATGGGCTCCTGTTGGTGCCAACGATGGAGATGAATTTAAGGATGAATTTAAAGAGGTCTTTAAGGATGATTTCAAATATTATCATTCTATGGAAAAGTGAGTATATTCTTCCCCTTGAAACTTATTTATTGTTCTTTGCACTGTTCTTTAGAAACAATTTTTTATAAATTTACTCTTTCTAGTTTGCCTTATGAACTGGAAAGGCTGAGAATTTTGGAAGAGGAACAAGAAACATTAAATTCGTCTCTAATTGCATTAACAACTCATTTCGCTCAGGTATCTTGTCATTTTAAATTACTTTTCAATTGTATTAAAAAAAATTATTTTCTAACTTTTTGGTGATTAAATTAAATAATTAAATTTTTAAATATGAAAACTTTTCGCCAGGTTCAATTTCGACTTCGTCAGATTGTTGACGCACCAGCTGAGAAAAAGGAAAGTTTGCTCAAGGAGTTGGAAGAATTTGCCTTTCGTGGTATTCCTGACGTTCCAAATAGACAAAAAATTAGCAGCAGCAGATCGTCGACTCCTTTTTCCGATAGACAAAGTGTATGTAGTTGTAGAATTTATTTTTTTAGATAATTGTTAACTTATTGTGATCATTGCTATTGATTTTACGAAATTTGCCTTTTCATTACGAAAATTTGATTGGGAAAATAATAATTACAGAATTCAGGTGAGCTGAAAGATGACGAACTTGAATCGAAAATGGCACTGCAACGTACTAAACAAAAGGAATTAATAAGCCAATTAAAAACACAATTGGAAGATTTGGAGAAATATGCGTACGAAACGGGCGATGCCGATTTACCTCAAAGTGTTGTTCTCGAACGACAAAATATTGTCATTAGTAAGTTAACATAATATTAATAATCGCTGTTTTCTTGTTATTGTTTACTTTTTGTTTACTGACATTATTAAAATTATTTTTTTTTTTCTTAATACGCAAATTACAAAATTTCTTATTTTTGAATAATTTTATAATCAAAATTTAAAACCTTCATTTATTAAGAACATAATTTATTTTTATTGTTTATAATAATATTTATTAATAATGTTTTTCGGAAAATTCAATTATTTTTATAAGTATTAAAATTTTTGGCAAAAATTCAATTCTTTTAAATAAGATTTCTTGCGAAGAATTTTAGAAAATTTTTTTAAAACAATGGAATTGTTTCGAAGAATTTTATTATGTATTTATAAAAAAATAATTGAATTTTTGAAGAGATTTTCATTAAAATGGTTAAAAATACATTGGGTCGATGAATTGTATTAAAAGTTTAAAAAATAATATTCAATAATAATTAATTAGCTAATAAGTGAATTTTCTAAAATTTCGAGACTGAAATTATTTTTTATTATTTTTTTTTATTAATATTCTTTAATTATTGATTTTTCATATTTTATACTTTACGAAATTAATTTAATAGGTCATCTCAAGGAGAAATTGAACTTCGACGTTGATGATCTCTGTAAATTGCCGCTCGATGATTTAAGATGGCAAGTTGACTGTGCAATAAGTCAGGTTTGTATTTTCTTCTATAATTTATTTTTCTTTATATAATTTATCCAAATTTAATTTTACCAAACGAAATAGTTTTTAAGAAGATTTTTGAAAGGTTTTTTTGAAAGATTTTATTGAAAGAATTTTTATTTTTAAAGAATCCTCGTCTTTTAAAAATTGAAATCAATTTAAGGAATAAATCTACCCTTTCAGATTGTCAGTCCATTAAAAATGAAAGAACAATTAGTGGGTCAATTAAAAACGCAAATCGCTGATCTCGAAAGATTCATTAATTATCTCCAAGGTGAAGTCAGTTCAGAAACGTTAGCATGCACCTGCGCTTGTCCAGTTCACACGCACGGAACCACTGCTGCTTCATCATCATCAGCATCATCATTTTCTAAACACTCATCATTTCATAAAAAACCAATAAGCAACGAGAAACAAACGGAAAGTTTAAATACAGTACGCAAAGTTTTGATGCTCCTTCACATGTACGTTCTCTCACAACTTGGCTGCAGTAGTGAAAGAGCGAAACGTAATTTCAAAAAGAAGAATGTCTGCAGTTGGCGTGATTTACGAACACGACTCGATATTGCTGTGGAAAATATTCTCGAGTGTCTAGCTGAAAATGTCCATCATCGTCATCACGAGGACTTTACAAACGACGTGGAATATTCATCAGATTCTGATTCACCAGTCTCACAGCAGAATAATACAAAAATCACATCGGCAGTGAGAAAATATTTGGCAATTGCCGTTCGTGATTTAATGCAACATGGATCGAGTGTCGACGTTCATGTTAATAGTGTCGTACCATTTGTTGGCTGTTTTCCCCAAAGAAGTCAAAATTCAACGAGTAGTTCAATGCACGCTTGGCTCATTGTCTTGAAATATTACGAAATTAAAAATGGACAACGATATAATTCAGCGCCAGCTCAGAAATTATCGCAAAGTTTCAATCTCGATCTTGTTGGAAATAGGCCCGCCTCATCGAAACAGGTATTTTTGATTATTTCAGACAAAAAAAAATTCCAAAGATAATTTTAAAAAAATGTTTCAAATAATTTAAATATGTTGTAAAGAATTTAAAAATACTTTTTCATTTTTGATGAGAATGTAATAATAATTTAATGTGATTTTTCTTCAGAATTTATTAGTAACGATTGGAAATATAATTGCATCTCACACGCCATACAAAAGAAGTTATGATACACATTTCAAGGCTTTTATTTGTGCATCATTGAAGTGAGTTTTATTATTGAGAACAATTTTAATTTAAATAGTTTTACAAATAAAAGTATAACTCTTTATCTGCTTTACAGCGCCAATAAACTAGTCGTGTGGTTGAAATTGATTCTGCAATGTCAATATTTATTAGAAAATCATTACATGTCTTGGAGTTATGTCATAAAAACCGGTGAGTATTTCAATTCAAATGATAATAAAAGTAAACCATTTATTTAAATTATCTGTTAAAACTTAAAATCTGTTTAGAATAGTAAATTGTAAATCGTTGTTTACTATTGTCTATTATTGAATTTTTATTTTCTTCAGTTAGTAATAGTTTTATTTAAAATAAATATTTAATTATTATTTTTCCATAGGAATTAAGGTTTTCGAAAATTCTAAATTCAAACCTTTTTGAAATTCAACAACTTATGAGAATATTATTTTATTAGAAAACATGAAGAAATCGATCACTCCGTGTCTTCGACTCGGAATGCTCGATTTCTCCATGTTTTATAATAATTAAAGATGACCAAGAGATAAAATTTTTATTTTTTGTATAAGAATATTGAATATTATAAGAATATTCAATTATTATTTTCTAGAATTTTTAACTAAAATTCTTCTTTAAATAAATTATTTTTAATAAATTTTGAAAAAGTTCTTTGAGAATTTTCAAATCCATTTGTTTACAATTCAATTTTAGGAAAATTTGATTATTCGTAAATTTTTCAATTAAATATATATTAGAAGATAAAAACTTTAAATAATTTAAAAAAAAAACAGTTAAACTTTTTCAAAAAAATTAATTCTACAGAATTGTTTGTTATAAAATTTTTAAAACTAATAATATTTTTCGGTGAATTCGATTAAAATTGTATTCAAAATAATTGAAATTCTGCGATGAGTTCTTTTATTTATGAAAATAATTGGATTATTGCGAAGAAATTTCTAAAATATTTGTAAATAATTGAAATCTTGCCAAGAGTTTTTATTAAAATTTTGCATAGAATTTTATTAAAATTTGAAAATAATTAAAATTTTTGAAAAATAATTGAATTCCTAAGAAGAATTTTATTTCATGAAAATAATTGAATTCTCTTTAAAAAAGAAATTTATTATTTATGAAAATAATTGAAATTTTATCTAGAATTTTCTTAAAATTTTTGAAAATAAGTGAATCTTTGTAAAAAATTTTATTATTTATAAAAATAATTGAATTATTGTTAAGAAATTTTTTTAAAAATTTGTAAATAATTGAAATTTTACTAACAATTTTATTAAAATTTTTTTAAACAATTGAAGTCTTGCCAAGAGTTTTTATTAAAATTTGAAAATAATTAAAATTTTGCCAAGAATTTTATTAAAATTTTTGAAAATAATTGAATTCATAAGAAGAATTTTATTTTATGAAAATAATTGAATTCTCTGTAAATTCTGTAAAAATATAAATTTTAAAAAATTTATGTTCAGTAGATTATAAAGTGTTAATTTTCCCAAATGTGATTTTTATAGGTTTTCAAGACGCTTTTCACACTCTCGATCGGCTCACGAATCATAAATTTGATTTGCCCGTCGACTTGGCCATAAAACAATTTCAGAATATCAAAGATGCCTTCTAAAGAAAGAAAAACGTCCTTCCACAATTTTAATTTTACTAGTCAATCCACGTAAGTGATTCAATAATGACTGCTGTAATTTTTTCTATTTTTCTTTGCATTCTTTTCTTTTCCTGTCTTATACGTACATAAGAAGTAAAAAAAACGTGCACAGTGCATAATAACAGAAAATATTTAACTTTGTGGAATATATTTATATATATAATATATATTACAAGTTGAGAATAATTGCTTCGTGAAAAATACGAAGAAATATTTAAAGAAAAATGTTAATCAATGGGAAAACATATGACTTTGTACTTCTACTACTGAATCTCAACTTTTTTATTTTTTAGAAAAAAATGCACCAGTGCTTCTATACTTTTAAAAATAATTTCTTCTACGTAACTTTTGAAACAAATTTTAATTTTGTTCAAATTATTTTATCTTGCATTTATTTAAATGATTTAAATTAAAGTTTTCTAACGAACAAAGTATTTAGTAGTTCGCTTTTAGGTAGATTTTAATTATTCGTACGTAAAAGAAAAATAACGAAAGTGCTTTAAGAATTTAGTAAAAAAAAAAAAAAAAACTAGAAGTATTTATATTTATTGTTAAGATTAACAGTCATTTTTAATATTCGAATGTTTTTTGTGTCTGAAATGGAAATTAGAAAAAATTCAGACACTAGATTTTTATTGTAAATTAAATGTTTATCTATATTATATATTTAAACTGTTTGTTAAGTTTTAAGATGTACTTATTCAATTACCTAGTAATTAAACTTAATTTAGTTCATTATTTCAACGTTTTTTACGTTATTTTCTAACTTTGCTGATATACGAACTCAATTTTTCAATGTAAATCAATGAAAGAAATAACTTTTTGCAAAATGTAAACTTTAAATCACAAATTAAAAAAAAAAATGTTAACAGTGTTAAATGTTCATAAAGGTAATATTAAATGTTCATTTTCATGATGACATTAAATTTCAATTAATAAAGTTTTTACAAAGGCTTTATACGCGAGAAACTTTTATGATATTTAAATTGAGTTAGTTATCAATTAAAATCGCAAAGATAAAATATTTCCCATTTACGATAATTTTTAATTGAAGATAAAAATTTATTAGAAATATTGTTAAAAATGCATTTATTGATAAAATTTTACATACACCTATTTATTTTAATTAAGAACTTATTTTTTTTTACTTTACAATTAAAAAAATCTACATATCCAAATAAAAATATCGTTAAAGTACTGATACTTTTATCAATGAAATTAAAAACAATTTCTTTTCTTTTATTCAACCAAAGACAATATTTTTTTTAGTATATATAAATCGAAACAGGAATTATTATGACACTTGTTCTCATATAGCACTCAAAAAGAAATGTAATAAATATTACAATAAAAGTGTAAAATGAATCATATACTTATAAAAAAATATATTATAAAAAACAGTGTATAGTAATGTTATCAGGAACGGTTAAAAGTATTTTTGCAACAAATGTAACAATAGTTTGCAACATTATCTTGATAAAGAGATTTAATATTTTTTCGAGAATTATAAAAGAAAAAATGTTTTAATTAAAAGCGAAAAAGTTTCTAACGAAACTGTCATGTATACAAAAATTTTTCTTCGTAATTTTCGTTAATAATTATTTTTTTTTGATTGAAATTGCAAAAATAGTTAAATAATAATTGTATATATTTCGACATTTCGAGTGAATTGATCTTATTATTGATTTTTTTCCTCAATAGTTGGAAAAATCGTAAAAAAGAAAGATTTTTAAATGACAATGTTGAAATCTGACTTTTATAATTTTATGATAATGATCTCGAAAAATGGCTTGTAGGATAAATCGGACTGAACCGATACGTGACAAAATACACGTTCTATGTACACATGTAATCACCAAACCAAATATTTGTAATATAATTTTATTTGAAAGATGAAAATAAATTGTACCAAAGATATATTTGCATTGTCTAATTAATTACATCGCAAATAAATTATTTAAAAATATTATTATTAAGACTACTAAAATTCGAAATATTAAATAAATAAGTAATTTGGTATTAAATGCAAAGACAATTTTTATGAAATTTGCCATTTATTTCATGTAAAAAATGTACATCTGAGTTTTATATTTTTTTTCTTAACATTAACGCCACATTAATTCATTATTAGTATCATCTAAATTATTAAATTTAATGATATCTTAAATATAGAATAAAATCACAAAAAATATGAGGCTGAAGTCTGCAACGTTTTTAAAAACGAAAACGAAAAAATAATGCCAGTTTTTTTTTGTTTTTGATTCTAAATCATGTTGTTTTTTAACGATTGTTAAGTAGATAACAATTGTTGTAACAATTTTTATTAAAAATTAACGCACACGAAAATTAAAAAATTTAAATAATAAAATTTTTCTTTGAAAAAAAATTCTTTTTTTAATTCCTTATTTTAAAAATATTGCGGACTTCCTCTTCATAAAAAAATTGATATTTTTTTTAACAACTTAATTATTTCGTTTCTGACATGTCGTTGATAATGATTTTAGGCTACACACTAAATTAACTTAACTAATAAAATAATTTCTTACTTAAATACTTCAAAAGTATTTTCAATACTTAATTATACTGTTTTGATTTTAGAATCGTACCTAATGTTAAATGGTATTTGAATTTGGCATTTGAATTTCGTTTTTGAAAATAATATTCAAAATTTCCAAAAATATTAGTAGAAATATTTTTATTAAATTGAAAGATAATTATAGATTTAATTAATAGAATTAGAAAATAATTTTTGTTTACTCCTTTTGAAGGATTTTTTTAAATTAGTCATTTCAAACGATAAATTTGGTTTCGATACATTAAATTTTTCCGATTATATCTTACATTACACTTAATATATTAAATGTAAAGGACACAAACATTTTGTTACGAGATCTCTAAATATTTTTCATTAAAACTTATAGTTAATTATATTTTTTTAATAACACAGTAACACAAGTTTCACAATATTTTTAGAATAAAGTTATATCAAATACGAAGCGAATTTAAATTATATTATAGTAAATAAATATTAATAATTTATAATTTTAAATCGCAAATTTGTATTCAAAGTTTATTATGAATTAATTAATAATTAATAATTAATAGTTAATTTAGTTGCTTTAATTTGATATAACTTTATTGAAATTCAAAGTACAATAGTAGATAATATAATATAAATAATTCAATAATATAAATATTAATCATCAATAATTAATAATGTTAATAATATAATAATAATTTTTTTTAATAAATATTCTTTTAGAATTTATGTACTCAACTAATAAATTTTATTGGTAGTTTTATTTCTATTTTTACCAGCGTAGAAATGGAAGTTTTTGAAAATTCAATATTAAAACTTGAGAATTGAAAAATGTTTTCAATTTTGAAACAAAATTACAAAATCAATGTATGATTTTTAAATTTACTTGACAATTTATTGTTATTATTGTTATTTAGTATTTACAAATATAGATTATTATATTATTTCTTTTTTTTTAGAAACAAGTACTATTTAGGTCGAAAATAATTGACTGGATTGTTTGCAAAAGAAGAAATACTTTAAAAATAGAGCTTTTTGGAAAAATAGCTTAAAATGTCCAGTTTTTTTCGTAGAGTTTTCTTTTGTTCTTTTTTTCAATATAGAGATTCGACTAAATTCGTGATTTTACAGATTAACAATACTGTTGTGAGTTTCAGGTAGTCTTAAGTTTTACACTTGTATAACAAGGTTCTTAATGATATAATAGAATAATAGATATAATATATCTGTTACACTCAGATTGATTCTGTAATTAATTACAAAAAATTTATAATTGACTTTAATTATAGAAACAATCTGCTTCTAATAATACTTTTACTATTATTTTGCAAATTTTTTTTTAAATATATATCAACGATGCTGACACCTAACAATTATAGGAAATATTATAAATGTAACATATTTAAATATACATTTAGCAGAAAGACAGCGAAAACACACATGCAATAACTTTAAGTTTTTAATAAAGTTTAGAATCTTCAGAATCGTTTTTTGTGTTTCGAGGTCGCGAAAGAATTTATTTTTAAAAATTAAACAAGCAGAAGAAAAATATTTAAATAAATTCGAAATGTAAATTAATAATATTAAAGAATAAAAAAGGTTTAAAAGCTGCGCGTATTTGACATATTTGTAAATTTTAGAAATATGTTTTGTAAATTTACATTTTGACTTGATATTAATTTCACGATATAATAAAGTGGCGAGTGTAAAAAAAAACAGAAATCTCCCACTTAGCTCACAAAAATTCAGTCTGTACAGGAAAAAAATTTCCTAGAAAAATCGTTAAAAATTATCTTAAAAAATAAATGCATGAAAACAGTCGTCAGTGATAAAGATTTAAATAGACAGTGCTTGAAAAACGAATGTTTAGTCCCGTTTTAATAGAAATATTTTTGTGACGGTTTATTTGCAGTCTTTTAGGGTAAAAATATTTTTTCAGTTCTTGTCTCCCATTTTTTTTTAAATTCCAGACTTTTTTTTACTGGAAAAATTCAAAATACTTTTTCAAACGTAAAGAATAATAAATAGTTTCTTCTTTAACTAATATTATTTAATAAGTTAACGTGAATTTTTAATTCACTAATAGAAATTAAATTTCTAATTTTCAATTTAAAAAAAAACTCCTTTGGTCGAAAAAAGCAACCTTTTTGTAATGATAAAAATCGAAAAATAGTCAAAAAATTACCTTAAACATGAATTCGTATCGGAAGATTATCGGAAACATTCCCAGTTTCAAGATCAGCTTTAATGGCTTCCAGAGTGACGAAGATTTTTCGGAAAGGAGGCCGTTCGCATGGTCGTCTATTCCAACATAATTTCATGAGTTCATAAACCACAGTTGGCGTATTGTCTGGACACTTGAGTACATTTCCTTCTTTAATATATTTCACCACCTCCTCGTGTGTCATTCCATAGTAAGGTTGAAGGGCAAAACTGAAAATTTCCCAAAGACAGACAGCGAAAGCCCATACGTCCGATTCAATAGTATATTTATTGTAGAGAATACTCTCCAACGGCATCCATCGAATTGGAATAGCGTCCTGTTCATCGCCCTTGTAATAATCCTGTAAATAAATTTTCTGCGACAATCCAAAGTCGGCAATTTTCACCACCATTTGATCGTTAATTAGACAATTTCTCGTAGCGAGATCACGATGAACAAATTTTCTATCCGACAGATAAACCATTCCGGAGGCAATTTGCCTCGCAATGTTAATTAAATCCATGTGCGATAGACGTGAATCGGTGAATGAACCATCGTTTTCAAAACTACGAACGATGTAATTTCCCGGTGAGCAAGTGCGTAGGAATTCGTTTAAATCGCCACGACCCATGTATTCAAAGAGAAGACACATCGGTCGACCGATAGCACAAATTCCGAGGAGTTTGACAATATTTGGATGATCGAATTCGGAGAGTAGACAAGCCTCGCGTTCAAAGTCTGACAAAAGATCGTCGGTTGCCTCGTCCTTGAGCATTTTCACTGCTACGTTTGTGAATTCATCGCCTGGAATCAGACCTGGGGCTTTTGCTTGAAACACTCGACCAAAAGCGCCTTGGCCCAAATCTCGAATGTAAATAATATCGTTTCTTGGGAACTCGAGTTTTTCCAATTTTGGATTTAGCATCACTCCTGTCTTGTGGTACGCATCGTTGCTCGGCAATTTGTCAAGATCGATATTTATATCCTGAAAATCAATTTCAATTGCAATTTTAATTTCAATTTCAATTTTAATTTCAATTTCATGATTCGTTTGTTTTAAGAATAAATTCTGATCAATTTTACCTGATTAACGGTAGCATTATAACCTTGATGACGTTTACGAAGTTTTTGGCTCAACAGAAAAGCGAGGGATGTTCCTAGGATCATTAAAAATCCGAGAAAGGCAAGAGTGAGAATCACAGTCGGTGTGAAGAGTGTATCCATTATTAAATCATCGGGTCCAATTTTTACAATTTCCTCTGTTGAATTATCTGGGGAATTTAGAAAAATTTATATAAAAATTCATTCAGCTTGGAAATAAAAAAAAGAATCTGTTGTGAAACTTACCACATTTTGGAATATTGCAGTACTGCCAACGAATTTTTGTATCAGTTGTAAAGCACCAAGGCATCGGTTCATTTCCACCGACATTTCGACAATAATTTTCACCGTCAACTATTTGTGGAAATACATTTGGTGGACGATCGTGAGAGTGTGGTTCTTGTGAACTCCAAGGCTGACATTCGAGACCCTCGTTTGTTCTATTCATTTTTCCCATATAAAATCGTCCATTATCCTGAATACAATTATCTGAAAGATGAATAATTGATAATTATTATTATTAATTATTATTATTATTATTATTATTAATTAAACATAATCCTTTAATAACATTGAAATTAAATTTAAAATTGACTTAAAATTAACAAAACCTAAATAATTAAACTTTAAATCGATTAAAACTCAAACTTACAAGTAATGAGATCTTCGTTTATGTCAGTCAAGTGTATGTTTGAGCAAGTAACTTGATCGTTACTAATTTTTGGAAGACTTTCACAATTTGGCAGTAAAAAATGTCCTCGGGATCTGATAAAAATATCCCTCTCTTTATTGTCCTCGATTAAGGCCCATTCGTTAAAGCAAAATTCGTGACGAACGGCCATACAATCCTCGTAACACAATGGTAAACCGATTGAATTTCGACATTGTGGAAAAGCGTATAGACAAAGCATTTTCTGAAAATAATTTAATTAGTAAAACACTCGAAGTATATCTACATTCTTAAATGAAGAATTTAAATTAAAGAAAGAAGATACCTCGGCTGCTGAACGGCATGGCTCGTTTAAATTTACTATCAATTCTTCCCATAGATTCATTGCCGTTTGTTCATTTAATAATCCACCGGGATTATCTCGTGTATCATTAAACCAAACTTTGCCGATTCCTGTAAGGTATTTTTTGCAAACCTTACCACTGTATGGCGCACAATAGCCTTGATTCTCATATTCTGTAACAATAAAACGAATATTAATTCTGCAACAACGAAAAGTTATTTCTGTAAAAATAAAAGAAATATTAATTCTGCAATAAATTTCTAAAAGTTTTAAACTAACAATAAAACTGATAAAACAAATTACACTTTTGTCACTTACTTTTCAATGCAAATGCACAATGCAAGCCAATTATCACCAAAATTATTGTCCTCAGCACCATGGTGCGAATTATTGTATATTCTCACATAAACATTAAAAACTAAATAACATCACAAATTTTCTCTTCAAAATTTTCGTGGAAATTAAAATTTCAGCATTCTCTCTCGCTTTACATCCCTATAATGATCTATTTTAAGAATATAATTAAAAAACACTAAATATTTTATCAGTCTTTTTCACATTATTCAGTACTTATTTGAAATAAGTAAATATTCACTAAAAATTTTTCGTTAATTAATGTTTAATTAATAAATGTGAATTTTAGTTTTTAGTCTCGAAAAATGTGGACGAAATTAGAGGTTAGGACTTTTTTTTGGATTTCTTCTCACAAAAATCCACTTCTTTAAAAAGTTCTTGCAGTTCTTTTCTGAATAAAAGAAATTCATTCATTCACTTAGTGATATTTAAACTTTTCAGAAAGATTTAATTCATTGTTGTGTAAATTTTCTCTTAAATTAGGAAATTAATAATTAACACTGTTTTTCCTTTTTGTGTTTTGTGGTTTTGTATATATTTTACTAAAGGTTGATTCACGAAATCGAAATTGCCGCCTTTTGGTAATATTGATTGGCTGTTGGAATGGACAGTTTTGAAGGTTCGCCTTAAGCTAAACAGCTGTTTTGATCACGTGACCTCTGTTTTCATTAAACATGGCAGCTGGTTGATGAAAAGGAAAATGTCACAAAGTGTTAATAAAAAGAAGGAAAAATAGTGTTTTTCAAAAACAGTTTCATGAATTCGTGTTCGTAAGAGGACTATCTAAAGATGCCGGTCGACATTAATCGATTAACAGAAGGCTGGCTAGAGCTTGAAAGTGATCCGGGTAATATACATTTTTATTTTGACAGCTCAACTCACTACTTGTTCACATATTGATTAAGTGATTGTTATAATAGTATATTTCAAATAATCGTTTCAATTTTGGAATTCTTTTTTATCTCAGGACTTTTTACTCTTCTCCTGGAGGATTTTGGTGTGAAAGGAGTTCAAGTTGAAGAAATTTACGATCTTCAGAAGTCTTTAGAAGGTCCTGTTTATGGCTTTATTTTTCTGTTCCGCTGGATTGAGGAGCGTCGATCACGTCGAAAAATTGTCGAGCAAGATGAGAGTTTTGTTAAAGATGAGGATATTGTTAACAATATTTTCTTTGCACAACAGGTGAGGTGTTTTAATTTCAAATTATATTTTGTAGGTTATGTTTTAGTCTTATTTAGGAGCTAAAGGGAGATTTCGATTACATGTTAATATAAAAAAATTATTAATATAAACTTTGTTTAAAAATTCAGGTCGTTCCGAACAGTTGTGCAACACACGCCCTATTATCGGTATTATTAAATTGTCCGAGTATTCATTTAGGAACGACATTGTCTAGATTGAAAGTGCACACATCAGGAATGTGTCCCGAGAATAAGGGCTGGGCAATTGGAAATACACCGGAATTGGCGTGTGCACACAATTCCCATGCGATGCCACAAGCTAAACGACGTCAGGATAAAAATACCGGTGTCTCGACTGGTCGATTTACCGGCGAGGCATTTCATTTTGTCAGTTATGTTCCGATAAATGGTAGATTATTCGAATTGGACGGCCTAAAGCCATATCCAATGGATCATGGTCCATGGAAGGAGGACGAGGAATGGACGGAACAATTTCGACGTGTTATCACCGATAGATTGGGAATGGCAACCGGTGAACAATTACAGGATATAAGATTTAATTTAATGGCCGTTGTTCCCGATCGTAGACTCGCTATTTCACATAAATTGACGATGCTCAAAACAAATAGGCAAATTGTACTCGAGGCATTGCAGCAACTCGTCAAATTGAGTCATCCCGATAGTGAAAAATCATTGGAGAAAGCCGAAAAAGTACACGAGAAAAAAGTGAAATTCGAGGGAGAAATTGTTATTAGCAAAAGTGAAATTGATACCAGTTCTATTCCTACAATTAGTGTTGAGCATTGTAACAATTTTGGTAATGATAATGAGGAGACGACGATTGTTGCCACTACGAAAACAGAATCTGGGTAAATTTTTACTTATTATATTTTTATTTTTTTTTATTTATTTTTTTTTTAATTTTTACTTTTTATTTGAATTTATGTTCATTATCAGGATTGAGACAAGTCAGGGATTTTTATTTGAATTAGAAGTACTGGGAAAAATTAAATTTTTGGAATTTATAAGAAAATTCCGAACTTTTGTGCCATTTTTGTTTAATACACAAACTATGAAATTGACACGAATTCCAACACAAAACCAATTTTAAAATTCAAAAATGTATCTATTTTAATAGTTTTCTTATTATTTATTTTTAATTTTCGCCTTTTTAGTCTGACCTATGGACGAGCTTTCAATTTATAAACTTTAAGAATTTATTGTAATTTTTAGAAATTAGAAATTCTGTAAATATAAGAATGTTAATTGAATTGTTATTTCAGAGGTATGGAGAAAGTAGTGATGTGTGCTTTAGATTATGCAACGCCTCTTCAAATTCAAACGTCTCCCGCTCACAGTTCCTCAAGTACGGACACTTCTTCCGAAATTGGATCTGCTTTTAATTCGCCTACTCAAGGTTGGTCTCTTATAATAGAATTTTATTTTTAAAAAAAGAAAATAATTTTATACTTGAAATTTTCAGGAACTGAAATCATTTCGAAAATGTTCTTTTAACACTTTTTTCTTCTTTATTTTCCTTATGACAATTTATAGATTATTCATTATTTTTAACACTGTCCCTGCTCGATACACTTTTTCGACATATTCGTTGCCTCGTACAAATTTTCTTTTCGGCGCAAAAGATTAAATTCTTCGGACACATCATACGAAGGGATGAGAGATTCTTCGTTTTTTCATTATTCGAATAGCACAAATAGTAATGAAAAATAGATGTTAAATCAGGAATGTTGCCTATCGTTCTACAAACATTTTTCGTCTCAGAATTATCATTTTGGCTCTTATAAACATTTTTCGTGGGACTTTTGTTAATCACAAAACGGTTAATAATTTGATTAATGTCATTTTTTGCTTTTTCTCCCGTATTTGCATTATATTTAGTTTCATTTTTGCCTATTTCAATTGCTCTTGTATTCTGATTCTTCTCGTTATTTCGAATAATATAATTTGTGATAAAATAATTCAATAACACTACATTGTTCACAATCATGTTTCTATCAGATTTTGTAAAATTGTACGATTCCGTTAAATTTTCGTCTGGTGTATTTTCATCGATTGTTTGATCTTCGGTTAAAATTGATAAATTTTGTTTTGAAAAATTCGGTATCAGTGGATTAATATCCTTATCGAATGTTGTATCCAGAGAATAAGATGAATCTAGTGCTTCGCTCAGTTCTAAATTGTCGGAACTTTGGTTTAAATAATTTTTCACTTCACTGATGATTTGCTGTTCTTCTCGAAAGTTTGTGTCACATGTCCAAGTTTCGCTCGGCAGGACGCAAATTCCTAAATATGACTCGAACATCTGGGAAAAAGATTTCTTTTACAATATTACTGTTATATTTATTTTCTTAGGTAAAAAATTTTATCACTAGATAATTATTTTTTTAATTAATTATTAATTAAAATAAATAATGAACTCTTTTCTTTTTTTAACAGACAAAATTTGTCTTTATCGTCAGATAATAACAAATTAATTACTTTCTCATTACGACTAGAAAGTATTATTAATTTGTTGCCGTTAAACTATTATTAATTTATTGTCGTCTTTCTTGGAAATTTAAGTAAAAAAAAATAGTTTTCGTACCAAACCTTCGGAGCATTTCGACGGTGTCCAGACATATTCACCAGACGGTAAATTGACACAATTGTAAAATAAATTGCAATTTGTTGGATGAGGTCTTCTTGTTTCGGGACATTTTGAAATTACCAGATCGACGATAATGAAAAAGAAATAGAAAAATGATAAAATCTGTAACATTGTTACGAGCACGATTGTCGTTATCGAACTGAAATATTCGCTTGTAAATTTCTTTATGTACTTTTTCACGAGTTCTCAAGCAGACGCATTTCTGTTTACACTAGTTTAGTAGTTCATTATTGACACCTACTTATACAGTTATATTTTCACCTCCTTTTAAACGAGAACAATTAGACAGTAAAATTTTTACTTGACCCGAGAAAGTCATCTCTCTTCTTTTTTTCGTAGCTTGGGGCTGGAACTCCGGGCAAAGCAGTCCAACTTCAACGAAAGATTTCAAGAAATTCGTCGTCATTCGTGTCGCTGGTGATGAAAAAAACGAAGCTGGTTTAAGTGAGTTAATTCGATAAATATTTTTATTTATTTATTTAAAAATATTTCTAATTATCATATAAAATCTTAATTTTTATGAAAAAATAATAATGATTAAATATTTATTTAAAAATAAAGTTATTGATTTTTCAATTTCCAATTATTTCCAATTAAGGAAATTCGTAAACAAATGTAATTACTTTATGAATTTCGTTCCATTTTGATTTATCTATTGATTTAATTGAATTTAGTGTATTTATTTTAATTCATAATTTCAGGTCGTTCATTGGGCAATATAAATATTAATGGAAAAAGATTGGTCTCGGACAGTGGACATTTACACAAGAAAGTGTGTTTATCGGGAGAAGTTAGAATACCTCATGCTAGGGTGAAAACTAGTAATGGGGACACGGTCATCGAGGAAAAGAAAGTGGAAAAAATTGACCCCAAACTGTGCTCGAAATATCCAGAACTTTTTGAGCCACACACATTTGCGCCAAAAGATCTTCTCGCACTACTTAAGAATCTTGAACACGAAATTTCCATTTGCGAAACTAGTTTACGCGATGAAAACGATAAACGCAATAAATACAAAGTACGACTTTTTCTTTTTTTACAAAATTTCCTCTTCTTTTCAAATTTAAATTAAATTAAATAATTTCTGCAAGAAAGTACTTTTTATGTAATTTAATTTAACGAATTGATTATTAATCGGTGTTTGTCTTTTTTTCTCTTTGTTAGATTGACGACTGTAGAAGGACTCATAATTACGATGAATTTATTTGTACATTTTTGTCGATGTTGGCTCAACAGGGAAAACTTGCCGAGCTCGTTCAGCAGCATCTCACATTGAAGAAACACACATCTGTATCCGTCAATCGAGTTCACAGGTTTGATTTTTATTAAAGTTATTTAAAAGTAATTTAGATTAAATAGAATAAAAGGAAATTTGATGAATTAAATAAAAGAATTTAATTTTAAGTAAATCGAAAAGATAATTTAATTAAACAAATTTTCCTCTTGCAGATCGTCAAAGAAAACGGAAACTCGACCAAATTCCTCTCGAAGACGTCGTGGCAGAACTAAATGCAAAAAACGAAAATAAGTGATTGATTATCTGGATGAATCGTGAGAAAAGACTTTTTATTTAATTTTCCATTTTTTATTTGAAAGAGAAAAGAAAAAGCTTTACGTGGACCGTATTTGCTTCGAATTGTAACCAGTGATTTCTACTTCGATAATCTTATTTAATTAAGATTAAAATTTTAATCTCTCATTAATTTACAAAGAGAATAATTTCAGCGAACTTTACGAAATCCGGTATTTTTTACACAAACCCAGTTTTTAATAATTAGCGATTTTTTTTTAATCGACAAAATAAGAACTAATTTAAGTTTTCTTCTAATTTAAGTATTTCATCATTTTCACGTGTTTCAATGAAATACTAAATTATATTTCCAGTTATTATGTCTCAGAGTATTAAAGAAAGTAATAACAAAATTCTTTGGGAGATTTTATTTTACTGACGGAGAAGGAATTGAAGCTTCTTTTTATCCTTAATAGTAAATTTTTAGTGTTAACTATTTTAATATTATTAATATGCTATAATTTAATAATTAAAAATTAATAATTGAAATTTAATAATTTAATAATTAATAATTTGATAATTGACTATTTAATAATTTTTTAATCTAATTTTCTTTGGCGTTTTTAGTTTTTTTCCAATTCGAGAATTTTGATAAGGACAGGTTTCAGAAAAATGAACAGAAATTTATTGTGAAAAACATTGAAAATATTTATTTCAATATCCATATCGTACATGAACAATACACACTGCGAATATATCTCTTAAATCTAAAACCCCAGTTGATAGGGCATGAAAATCGAATGTACATTTGGAATCGAGAAAATTCAGACACGGCAAACATCTTTTTTTTTATATTTTGTTTTTTTTCAGTAATTGAATAGAAATAGGAACTATTTTCAAACACCTAACTTTTGTCTCACTGTTTAGATACATCTTTTTTTTCACACAAATTTTTTTTTAAAGTAAAGATTTTTTTCAATTTTCCTTTTTTTGATAAAAAATATTCGCAAAAACCTTTTTCTGCAACAAATGCGATATTTTTTTACATATATATAGAAATTATTATCGAGGCACTTAACGCTTTATTCCACAAATACAATTCAATGTGGAATTTTTTCTTATTAAACATTTAAAAATTTTTTCTCTTAGGAATATTTTCGAAAAAAGGAACGAAGAAAAATCTTACAAGAAAAAAAATCTGTTTATATTTTTTTTTTGTTTTTTTTTTGTATTTTACTTATAAATGTAATCAAAATTAATTTATATCAATATTGTTTGAATATTGGAAGTTTCTGAAAAATTTCACTCTGATTTGAAAAGAAAAAAAAATGACTTTACAAAAACTGCTTGTCGAAGATTCTCGACTCGCAGATAATATTACACTTAGTGTGTCTGTACAAATCGAACGGACTATATGTATATAATATATAATATATATTTATTTCTTTATTTATATAAAAACAAACGAGGAAGGAGAAAATGCGTGATCCTTCCGCATGTAACATCGATAATAATAAACAGTCTTGTGTTGGGCTTGATAGGGCTGATCTTGACTTATGAAAAAGATTATCTTACTAAATCTTAATTAATATCTTCAAAGTGGGGAAAAAAAAGAAAGAAAAAAAAAAAGAAACGAGCATTTTACTCGCGATTAAATTAATATTGAAGATACCTGAAGAAAAATCACCCTTTGTTGTTTCTTTCTCTCTCTGAGCTTAAAATTTCAATGTGTAATATTTGTATCGCAAGTCCTATTATTAGTAATAGTAGTACCAATGATTTTGTGTTTGCTGGTCATCATGATCATCCCTAATCATTCGACACAGACGCTCCTTTCTTATATACGTATACAATTAATTAATAAATAATTCGAGTTACGCGCTATTATTAGTTTTTTTTTCGTCAAAAATTACTTTGTTACATCGTACATTTTTTTTCTCAATCGAAAACAATTTTTTTTTTCATATCACATATAATACATAATTATAGAATTGGGGATTTTAAATTCATCAGGTCGCTGGGGGTTTTTTTCGGCTCAGAATTTCGATCAGTATATTTAACATAAAATAAAAAAATATAATTAAAGTTTTGATATAAAAGAATAGAAGTAAATTTTCTTTTTCTGTAAATTAGAATACAGGAAAAATTAAACGAAGCGATTTTTTTTCAACTGATTGAAATTTAGAGGAAAAAAAATGAAAATCGAAGAGTAGAAAATTCAAACTAGAGACTATCTAAAAAAAATTTTTTTCGAGAAAGCATTTTTTGTTATCAAAAATTGTTTTTTGAAAATGGAACATCTTTTTTTTCTATTAGCGCCCTAACACTTTCAATCGTAGTCCATATATTCACATTATCGAAAAATACATTAATTTGAAAAAATATATATATATATTTATGAGAATAGTATAAATATGCGTGGGTACATAGATCATTTTGTGTGAGTTCTCTACATGTAATACATTCACTTAAAATAGGCATTTTTTTCTTAATACTTCGACTCTCGATTTAAATTTTTCAAAAAGGAAATTTTTGTTTTTTTGTAAGGGAAAACAAGAGAATTTGAAATTAAGCAAAGTGATAGAAAAGAATATTTGATTCGACTCCAGCAAGTGTGTTTTTTTTTTTTTTTTTTTTTGGAGTCGAATTAAAAAATGTTTTAAGGGTACCTGGCGGTGATGAGATAGCCGGTTGCGCGACGCAGTCTTTAAATGATTAGTCGAGAATAACTTAGACCAGCTAACGCGCTCTAATTCTAAACAGCTCGTAATCACAGTCGTAGAAACTTCCAAATTTCAAATGACAATGTACAATAAAACTACGACTCTGAAGACGTTTAGTACAGAATTTTTGAATCCTGAATAAAGCGATTTCATTCGATTGGTGATAGCGAACAAAAATTAACATTTACAAAAAAAGACGATATCATTACAAATATATAATTTACTTAAATATTAAAAGTCACATGGTCTTAAAAGCTAATTACGAAATTTGCCGGGTCAAAATCAGAATCGATTTTGAAAGAGAAAAAAACTCAGGATAATACTCCATTTTTTTCTTTATTATGCGTTTTTTTCTTTTCGATTCTATTTTGCTTTTTAGAAAAAGACGGGAAGAATCGAGAAATCGGAATTAATCACAGTTTTTTTTTTTAAAGAAGACTCGATTGGGGGAACAAAAAAATTCAGTCTACCCTGCCCGAAGGAATACGAGATCCTGAGCATCACGTTCAAAGGAGGTAATGTGCCTCGTTATAGAGGTGCATCTTTGGATAAGCTCTTGCGAAGTGACGCACATTATTTTTTTCCATTGATAATGATTCACTGTTGTCGTGAATCATTATTCGAGTTCAAGGACCCGCGACTTGGACACTGTTAATGACGTTTGTCGTTTGTCCACCGTTCACTTGGGGTACGACGTGATTCTCGCCACTCTTCCCCAGGCGAAGAATTGATTGTAGTGATGCAACTTCGGACGCTAAACGATCGAGCCTGCTTTTGACTTCCCTCTCGTTCTCGGGTACTGTTGGCACATTTGGCGTCCATTCGGCGCCAAGGGATATACCCGAGTCTCGCTCGTCACTTGAGCCCTCATTGTCCCAGGGTGGCGATGCTCTTGGTCCGGGTTCTTGTTTGATGCCCTGGAGTGCGAGGAGTGCACTCGCCGCGTCCTTGTCACCGATTCGTGATTTATGCCTCAATTTGTGGGGTAGGCAATTATTTGCGCCAACCATATTCTGTGGCACTGTCAATGAGGAGCTCTCGTCACCGCTGCCGGAGGAGAGTTCAAACGGCGATTGAGCGCGACGACCACGTGACAAGTTCAATGCACTTGATGTGTCAAAGTGATCGGCCGGATGTGTACTGTAGGGATATTGGAAGCTCTCGGTCTCTGGGTAGGCTGTCGCTTCCGGTACGTAGAGTTGAGCTGGCGACCTCGGTGACCTGGAACCGCTGACTGGCTGATGAATAACGGATGTGTGCACCGGACTTGGCGATCTCGTGTAAAGTAATGTTGTTGATGTGGATAATTTTCGTTTGAGAAGAGGTGGTTCAGTCGGTAGGGCGGCCAATACGTGCTCGGTGCTTATTACATTCTCGCCACAAATGCCAAATTTATCGCGAATCGCTTCCAATTGGGCTTTGAGAATGTGATTTTCTTTGCTTAATTCCATGACACGTTGCTCGAGGACCATGTCATTGAATCGTCTCTTTTCGCGGGAACGTTTTGCAGCTTCGTTATTGCGTCTACGACGATCCCAGTAACTGTCGTCTTTCTTATTGTCGGGAATGAATTCCCGTTGTTTACGCTGGGAGAAGAGTTCCTTGCGTAGATCGAAATTTGAATTGTAATTGTCGGAATGGGGATTTTGAGAATCGTGGTGTTGATGTTGCTGATGTTGTGGAAGATGTTGCATTGATTGTTGTGGATGGAGGGATTGTTGCTGTTGTTGTTGTTGTTGATGCTGCTGTTGTTGCTGAAGGGATGGCGATGTCCCGTGATGGGGATGCGTCATTGGAGGTAGAGGTCCATGAGGATCGTGGCCATGTCCACCATGACCCGAGTGTGGTATTGAATGGTTGGTCGGCATATTGCTGTTCAAGTACGCAATCTCACCATTGATGGGCGATCCACTCTGGCGGGTGACAAACTCTGCCACCATAATTTGCCTTCTTAGAACATCTGTAACAGAAACAAAAAAATTCTGTTAAAAAGGTAATTATATTTTCTATATTAAATAAAGAAACCAAACGAACCAATTCTCAAGTCATTTTCATTCAAAAACATAATTTTCCATTAAAGATTAATTAATCAATTGATCAATTAAATAATGTATTTATTTATTCACAAAAAATAACCTCTATTCTTTTTTTAATAACTTTATCTTTTGGTAAAGAAAAAAGAAAATTGTTAAAGTTTTTTTAGGTTATATTACAGCAACATATTAAAAACAACCTTGGTAATTGGTTCCTTCATCTTATTATTAATCACTAAAATTGTTATACGAATAGTATTTTATTTTCTGACAATTAGTCAAATATTTAAAACTCAATTTCAACATTTAGAAATAATTTAAATATAAATATTAACACAAAACGCACAAAACTTAAAAAACACAAATGCCAAATTGTCAACAAAAGTGAAGTTGTCTTTTAAACGAAATCGATTATGATTTAAATATCGAATTGTTAGGTCGTTCACTGCGCAGACAACTTCACATTGTTTCCTGTTCCGCCATTTTAGTTGCGGGTGTCACTCCGGAAAAACTCTCTTTATTTTTGTAATATTTATAAAATAATTAACAAAAAGAATAATAATAGGTATTGTGTGGAAGTGATATTAACAGTAAAATAAAAGTGTGGAAAAAGTAATCGTACCCGAAAAAGATATAATTGAAGGAATTAATCCAACTCCAAAACCACAGATTCAACTGCGGCAAATTTCAACGAAAGAACGAATCTCCAAATTTACGGAATATTTTCAATATTCGAAAAATCGACTAAAAACGAAATTGGCATTCTGTTTGCAGACGAAAATAATCTAAAGGTTAGTTTGAATAACATTTTCATTTTTAGGTTACGTTTGCATGTAAATTTTTTTCGCTACATTTAGTAAATTTTCTTAACTTTATTTATAAATCCAAAAATGTTCTCTAAATGGTAAAAATAACGAAAATTTGCCTAAAAAGTTAATTAAAAACCGTTAAAAACAATTGATATCGATCCAATATCGATTGTTTCGATTATATTCATTTGCTGTGTTCACTGCGCAGCCAACTTCACTCAGTTTCTGACTCCGCCATTTTAGTTGCGAGTGACGTCAAGTGACGCTCGTAAAAGTTTCTTTTCTCACGAAATATTAGTGAAATAATTAACAAAATGAATAATAATACAGTGTAAAAGTGCTAGTAATAGTAGAATAAAAGTGTAGAAAAAGTAATTGTACCCGAAAAAGATATAATTGAAGGCCAAAACAGTAAATCAGTCGAACTCCAAAACCACAGACTCAGCTGTGTGAGATAGAATTTCAACAAAGAATTTTCCTAATTTACGGAATCTTTTCACTAAATTAGAGTGAATTATCGATGAAAAGAAGACAAATCAACTAAAAAAGAAATAGGCGCACTATTTGCAGACAAAAATAATCTAAAGGTTAGTTTGAATAACATTCATTTTGAGGTTATGTTGGTATGGAATATTTTTCTTCTCAATTTAGCAAATTCTTCTAAATTCAATATATTTATTTACAAAAATGTTCTAAATGAATCCTTTCTAAAAAAAACGATTTAAAATAATTATATGAAAATTTGTCTAAAAATGAATAACAATTGATATCGATCCGTTGTCGATTCTTTCGATTATATCGATTGACTGTGTTCAGTGCGCAGCCAACTTCACACAGTTTTTGATTCCGCCATTTTTGTTGTGGGCGACGTTCCGAAAAGTCTGTTTACTCGCGCGTAATACTTGTAATATAATTAACAAAATGAATAATAATACAGTGTAAAAGTGCTAGTAATAGTAAAATAAAAGTGTAGAAAAAGTAATTGTACCCGAAAAAGATATAATTGAAGGCCAAAACAGTAAATCAATCGAAGTCGAAAACTCGGCTGTGTAATGGAATTTCGACACCAAACCGAATTTTCTAATTTATGGAAAATTTCCATTAAATATTCTAAATATTCCCAGCGAATTATTGAAAAAAAAAAGAAAATGGTTTAAGAACGAAGTTTTCAATTCGTTTACACAGGAAAATAATCTAAAGGTTAGTTTAAACATGTTCATTTTTAGGTTATGTTATCCAAATTTTTTTCTCTTTTAACAAATTCTCTCAACAGAATATATTTATATTCCAAGAAATTTTCAATGGAATGAAACAAAGAAGAAATTTTTATGTCCCAAAAAAATGTTTATAAAAATAACTTTTAATTGATAATAACCAAATCTAGTGACTGCGTAATAATAATTATTTTTAGAATTGATAACGAGTCTATTTTTTTTAAAACAATTGTTATCTTTAAATAACTCTCGAGATTTAAGTATACAAGAATGAACGGAAGTTTTTTCTTTCTCGAAAAAAAAATTGCAGTATCGTGAGTTTTCTATATATATTTATAAAATAGTCACATACTCCAAGATAGGAGAGAATTTAGAGAAAAATCTCGTCGGCGAAGTTAAACGATTTCAGAAATGCGACAATTCACCACTAAGAGAAACTCCAATGATCATTAATTACATTGATAGTTTATATAGGGAAGGACAATTGAAAGGATTTATTTCGTTTTCACGACTTTGCAGCAATACGACCATAAATGGAATATCACAAGATCATTCCTTTGAATTAACGAGAAGGACGTTCATTCTTCAAAATCAAGGAAGAAGGAAATTGTTAGTTCCTGGACGGAGATATCTCTCCAAGGTGTCGAGCTCTTAAAGGATAAATCGTCAAAGGATTTAAATTTGATAAAGGAAATTTAAATTCAGGTATTTTGCGTCATTTTAATTTGAAATGTACAATTTTTTGCAAATTTAGTCATTGATAGGAAAAATTATCCAATAGAAAAATTTGACTGTTTTTATAGTTTATTCTTTTTCAGTTCGAGTTTTCTTTCTAGGAGAGGAATAGAAATTTTTATCGCAAATCGAGTATAAATATAATCACGTCTCTTATGCAAGAAAGACGATCTCGTTCTCCCTTATTGTGAAATTCATATTTGTCACGTTCGAGAGTGTCTTATCGCTAATATATACACTTAAACTTCTTGATTTGCCTCGACACTTTTTCCGTCTAGATAAATCGATTGCTCGTATTGATAATTTCCATCGCACATTCGAATAGGCGTCTCATCATTGACTAGAGGGAAAATAGTAAATATTACGTAAACGATTAAACGTAGAAAATAAAATAGAGAATTTATCAAGTTTTCTCTATCGAAATAGTTGCGATTAAAATGAATCATCTATTTTACTCAAAAATCTGTCTCAATTTGCAAATTAAATTAAAATTTGCAAAAATTTGAATTTTTGCATTTTTTTCGATGATGATCAATTCTCTGTTTAAAAATGTAATTGGATGAATTATGATTTATTCATTGTGGATGAGTTTATATTGCAAAGATAGATTTGTAAATTTCTGAGTAAAAATGTGTGGATGGTTGCTGGGATGTATTTTATCGAGAAACATGAGGCACGTTATATAATATTCCACGTGCGCTTGCGCTTCCAAGAGCTGGCCACGTGCTTCGAAGTGAATGTCAGGCGGCATGAAAAGCCTCTCATCGTCATCATAAATACATTGACGTGCGTAAAACTCGCGGATTTCTCACGTGCTTCGGGAAAATGTGAATCAAACGTGTCACTTTGACCTCCAAGTTATTTTTTTTCTAACTGCAGGTGTCTTATTTTATTTATTTTTATGTATTTTTATTTTTTCACTATTTGTATTTTTATTCTTTTTTTACTATTTGTATTTTTATTCTTTTTTACTATGTATTTGTATTTTTATTCTTTTTTACTATTTGTATTTTTATTCTTTCTTACTATTTGTATTTTTATTCTTTTTTACTATTTCTATTTTTATTCTTTTTTACTTTTCTTATTTGTAAAAATAAATAAAAATAATGCATTTGCATTATTTTTCTTATTTTTTTGATTTCGATTACGTAATTAGACATTATGATTCTATTATGCAGTAGTAGAAAAAAAATAGTCATTGAAATTCTGATTCACTTGTTGATGAGTAACAGTTGCTTTTTTGCAATTATTATAGTAAGTTTCGTAGAAAACAAATGGAAACGTTTGCCAGCGTTGATCTAGGTCACGTATACTCAATTATACAATTTTTTTTCTCTATCATTCTGCCTCATCATATGAAAGAGTATTATTTTTTTTTATTAGTCAACGCTCGTTTCTTTCGGAAAATAGAATAAAAAAAATTCCACCAAATGGATTTGTTCCAAAAAAAGTAATTTTATATTTCCGACGCAAAATAAATTATTTTGCGATGTAAAACACTTGCAATATATAGAATAAGAAGTGGTTGTTTACAAATTTTGATAGTTGTGTAATATTTCTATTTTTAATATATTAGGGAATTTACTCTCCACGTGGCGGAAGATTGCTTGTAATTATTTTTTTTTTTTGAATTCTGATTTGAAATTCAAAATTATAATTCGAGTCTTTTTTTTCTGATAGTATCTAAGAAGTGTATTGTTTCTTTTTGCGGGAGAGAGAGAAGGAAAAAACAAAACAAATTCTGCAGAAGATAACGTAATCATCTGCTTACCAGAGCAGAAAATGAAGCTTCTTTAAAAGACTTGACTAGCATTTGTAGAGTTTCTATATTTAAACTGCATTACGCTCATTAGACAGACAATTTTCTCGTGGCTGAAGAAAGTGAAAGGGTTGAGAAGAAAGCGACTGAGGAATATAATAACCCTTTCGTAGATCATCATTTGCGCTCAGTAGACCGTCAAAAATTCCGTCCAATTTTATTTATTGAAATTAATGCTCAAAAGGGAAAATTCTTTTTTTCGTTTCGAATTTTTAAATAATGGAAATTTTTATTTTTAATATTTGGAAATATTTTCCAAAGGGATAAAATTAAAAAAATCAAACTCGATTCAACAGTTTTTTGCAAATTTACAAAAAAAAATTATTTTTTACAATATTAAAATTAATTTTCAAAATTGTTGAAACGTTCGATATTTTTATTTTTTAATTTATTTCTCGAAGAATTTGAAAGTCTTTAAATATAGAAAAGAAGAATTGTTAAAAATCTGATTTTTCCGTCTTCATCGAAAAATAAGAAGAATTCTTTTTTTGATTGAATCCGATATTTTTCGAGAGGGGGAAGCCCTATGAGTTTTTTAAATAATAATACCTATGAAAATAAAGAAAGTCGGAGGGTGATCAATACAAATCGTGGGGATATTTTTAGATTCATTTAAGTAGAGGAGTTTCTCCTAAGGGTGACCGACCGACGACGAAGTTCTCGGAATAGAATTACAGTGAGCAAGATCACTATATGTTTTCTTATGAGTCACTATATAGCACTTAGCAGTTAAACATTCCCGTGAGTTTATTACCGCTTACGAGTCACAATATATAGAGAAAATACCTGCACGAAAATGGTTATATATATGAAATCATTTCTTTATACATCCGCTTATGACTTTATATTGAGGAAGTGAATGCACAATCGAAATAATATCTATATATGACGTTTTCCTCCTTTCATGATTGTTTTTTAATTGTCAAAAAAATTTCGAAAAAGAAAAATCTGATTACGTTCAAGATACTTTTATTGTTTTCCGTTTTCTTCTTCTTATTATTTTTATTATTACTATTATTTATTGCTATTTTTTATTACTATTTATTATTATTATTACTATTATTATTAATTTCTTCTCAAAAAAATTAATAAGTATTTCCTTTGTTAAAACAATTTTGTTTGTTTGGAAAAAAATAGTAAAAATATTAATAAAAATAATAAAAGTTAAAATTATAATTATAATTATAATAATAGTGATTAAATGAAGTAACATTGAAGCAATTATTGCGATAATTTTGCAAGAAGAAAAAAAAGGAGAAGAAGAAGATGAAAAAGGAAATTGAAAAAAGAATTTTGAGAAAATGAGAAGGGAAGTGTGCTAATCGATATGGAGGTCATTACAATAGTTACTTTTCTGTGTGTATTATGCTTATGAAAATTCTAAAAGAACCTTTCAAATATACGCAATATTGTGTAATTATGTCAATGTGAAATTATATACATATTGTGTTTGCAAAAATCGTCAACGGAAAACTTATCTAAAGAAAAGCTGCGCGTTATAATATTATATGTAACATTGAATAATTTTATTGACAAAGAAAAAAATTGTACAAATTTGAAAGATTACATAATCAACAACCAGTATTGAAATATTGTAAATACTTAAGTAAGAAAAAAAAATTGATTGATGATAAATCACAAGTCTGTCTGATAGAATAAATAATATCAATTGGAAAAAAAAGAACTTTAATTTGCGCAATATTGTGTAATTTGAAAGCTCTCGGGCTTGTATATAACTTTTTATATACATACATATAGCGTTTGAATTCATTGGAAAATAAGTATAATAATATTAAATTCAAATACGTGCAACATTGTGTAATAATCATGTATGATTTGACGCTTTTTGTAAAAAGAGTGTTTCTCCAACACTTGCTCTGAAAGGAGTACTTTTCTTGGTAGAAAAGTGTGGCGAAAGTAGAACTTTTCTCAACTGCTCTAAAGAGCGTGGCGAAAGTAAATTCAGCGTGGTGAAAGTAATTTTTAGCGTGGCGAAAGTAAATTTGGCGTGGCGAAAGTAAATCATGTACTATTTTTTGTAAATAATTTCTCTTTCTTGGAATTTTAATTTTTCGTATTTTTCTTTGGCTGGGATTTTTATTTTTCGTGGTATTCTTTCGCTCGAATTTTTATTTTTCTTATTTTTCGCTTTTACTGGTATTTTAATTTTTCGTATTTTTCTTTTATTGGGATTTTAATTTTTCGTAGTTTTTTTTCTCTGGAATTGTAATTTTTCGTAGTTTTCTTTCGCTGTTTTTTGATTGTTTGTTTGTGCTGTTGAAATGTCGAATTGTTTATTTCTCACTGGAAATTTTAATTTTTATTCTTTGAATTTAATTAATTCGTTTATTTGGAATTAATTTTTTTAATTGATTCGTTTATTTAGAATTAATTTTTTTAATTAATTCGTTTATTTAGAATTCATTTTTTTAATTAATTCGTTTATTTGGAATTAATTTTTTTAATTAATTCGTTTACATGAAATTAATTTTTTAAATTAATTTGTTAATACTTTGAATATTAATGCAAAAGAAAAATTTAATATTTCTCTATGCACTTGGAGAGGAAAAATTGCATAAGAAAGGAGGAAAGTGTCATTTTTCGCGAGAGAAAAATTTTTTATTTGAGAAACTTTTTCCTGGTGAATAAAATATGAATTGCTTCTTGTCACTGTTCTTTTTTTCCAAAAAAAAGGAAAGAAAAAGTAGAACAAAATAGATAAAGTTCCCGCCTTTTTGAGATAATAAAGTTCGCGCATTTGAATTTTCTCTGGCTCTTAAACTGAAATTATTTTTATATTTAAAATAATTCGAATGGAATAATTTTGCATTATAAGAGAAATAAAAATTATTATTATATGCATTTATTAAATTAATTATTTGCCGGGGAAATTCCAACATTAATAAACCAGACTCGTTGGGCTATCGATCGGATGGTTTTAAACGTTATAAGTCGTGTGTTCGACGTCAAAAATGACAAATCGTATATGGCAGATGACGCAGGTAGTGAGAGAGAAAGAGAGAGAGATTTGCCGTGATTATCGGCCACGTGACAATCCTCTCAAGTTTTATTATATTACACAAAAGGGATATATTACGTTTGGAAATGTTAAACATTTTCATACGCAATTATATTCTTTCTCGAATATTCTCTGAGTGGAAATAATTCATATATACCTTTATTCGCAAGTTTTTTGAGAAAAATGAAAAATTTACTTTGGAAACATTTATTTCGGAAGAATTACTATAAAAATTACTACAAAAGAATTATAAAAAAATTGCTGCAAAAAAACTACTTTGAAAAAATAATGTTAAAAAATTAATTTTGTAATCAGAGAGAATATTTTGAAATTAATAATTATGAACGTAATCAGTGATAATGTATGATTGGATGTTGTAATATAAAATGTAGTACGTTTCAATTTCAATGACACGTGAACGCTTGTTATATGTATATAATATGCAAATTGACAAAAGCAATCGACACGTTCATAAATATTTTATAAAACACTATTACAACAATGGTGTTTTAGTGTTCTTGGGTAGAAATTTTTTCCTTTTTTTTGTATTTTTCTTTCTTTTTTTTGTGACACTTTTCGCATTGTATGTAAAATCTATATTTATTTTGAAATCATTGTGTGAACATGTCTATCTAACATAGTAGCAAAAATGGTACATGTTCATATCACTCGTGTGCACGTGTTTAAAACTATCATTGCACAATGTCGCAAATAATGCACGTGGCCGCTGCTAAGACAGGTTTTTTGCGTCGTTTTCTTCCCCCTCCCCTTTTTGTCAGAGTTGCAAAATATTTTTTTCGAAATTTTTAAAAATATTATTGAAAATAAAAATGTATTTGTATTCAATAAATACAAAATTGCTATAAAAATTTTAAATAAAATATAATAAAACTAACTATAAAAGTATAAAAACTTGTTACTACAAAACTGTAAAATTTATATTAAAATTACTATAAAATTGGAAATAAAATTACTATAAAGATTATAATAAAGTTACTATTAAATTTTAATAAAGTCACTATTTAATTTTAACAAAGTTACTATTAAATTTTAACAAAGTTACCATTAAATTTGAATAAAGTTACTATTAAATTACTGTAAAATTTAATATAAAATTTCTGTAAAATAATTCCTGTAGTAATTAGTACAAATTTTTACTAATTTAAATTGGAAGACGAATTTTCACGTTCTTTGATTTATATACAGAATATTCTTTGTTTCTTCGCTGTGAGAGTTCATGAAAAGCTTTTAGTACAATAATTTTGTCAAGTCTGTGACAACTTTGTGAGTCCGATTAGTGATATAATGAAAACGAGCTTCTTCATTTCGTGTGAGAGTGTGTTATATTTAAAAAAAAGAAAAAAAAACAAAAAATAGGAAAAAAAGTAAGAAAAAAACGACTTATTTATGAGTGTGTGCGTGCAAACTTTGCGAGCACGTGCCAAACTCACACGTGCCTCTAGATTGCCCCGTGCGCAAGAAAATAAATATAAAGAAGTCACATTAAAAGAAACTCTTATCTGACTTGCAAATCTTATAAAATATATATTTATTCCAAATCTAACTGGTTTAATTTCGAACTTTAATTTCGATGAAATTTTCACCGTAAAACGTCGCGAGTAACTAAATTATTTATTTCTATCTTCGATTCGAAAAAATTGCTGTAACTAAATTATTTATTTCTACCTACGATTCGAAAAGAATTGCGAAAATATTTTTATTGTAAAGTTGCTTTATATATTTTGTTTTTAATTTCATTTCAATTTTATTTCAATTCCACTTTCGTTTAATATTAATTTAATTTTAATTTTATTTCAAGTTTATTTTAATTTCACTTCATTAATTCAGTTTAAATATAGATTTTATTGAAAAAATTGGATTTATTGCTCTACGTGTATTAATATTGAGAAATTGAATTCAAATTTGTATTAATATTGAGTTAATTTATTTTTGTTTCAGAGGAATAAAAATGTCGGTGACGGGAATCGAACGCTATGCATGTACCCGTCAGGTTGGTGCCTTAATCCACGCAGCTACTGTCTATCTTCAAGTGCAAGAATTTGTGGTGAGTTTCGCAACGCCTAATGAGTGAGTCTTTGAATTCCTATAAAGCCTCTAAATCTGAATTAAAGAAAAATTTAATAATAAACGAGTAATAAAATAATAGACCATAATAAATAATAAATAGTAAATAATAAATACCAAAAAAAGAAATAATAAAATAATAGGTAAATAAATAAACAGTAAAAAAATTTAGTAAAAATTTCCACTGATTCGAGTAATTGAAAAAAATCCCAATAAATAAAGTAATTAAGTTCTACTGTAAAAAAATAGAAAATAAAATTAAAATAAAAAATAAACTAAATAATAGTAATAACAAAAAATAGTGAATATTTTAGTGAATATTTTTATGGCTCAATTTTCCATAATTCAGATCTAGAGTCAAGACTATGAAAATTTTATTTATAATTTAGTTATTTATTTATGCATCAGTTTAGTTAACAATTTAGCGAAAGTAAATTCCATCTCAAAATTGCGAGATTAATGAAATAATAAAGAATCCCGAGTTAAAAAACTCTTTGCGATTGCAACTAACAAAAAAGTAAATTTATAAAATTCAGGGAGTGTTAATTTGCGATAATTCAGAGATTAGAATTTCTTTCTGTACAAACTGTTTTGTGTTCCACTTATGCAACTGTTTATAATTATATAGTTGGAAGCTGGCTTGAAAGTATAATGTTCGAAAAGATGTATAAAGAGAGAGAGAGAGAGAGAAAGAGAGAGAAAAGTGTATTTGCATCGATTATTTATACATATATTGACGTGAGGGAATAATAAAATAGCCTGTAATAATAATAAATGAACACAATGGAGCAATAATGAATTTTATGAATTTTATTGATAACAGCAACTAGAACGGTATATTTGAAATTAGATCGACAATTTTCTATTGTGAGGGCACTATTCCGTTATCGGGATGCTGTAAATATTATATCAAGATCCTGATATTCAAGATATTTGAGTGCCCTCCTCCTTCTCACGTCGGCTTCATAAAGTTTCAAGTGCGTTATATATGTTGAACAAAGTGTTACTGATACTGGTTTTATATATATGAGATATACGTAATAGAACAGTTAACGGTGACTACCGAGAGATAAGAAGAAAGAGAGAGACACAGAGGAACACTTGAACGCGATGCATGCGTTACATGTTTGTTTTGTTCCACTTAGATGAGTGTATTACGTTATGTAACGGTGTTTACGAGTCTGTAACTGTATACGAAATTCCATAAAGTAGCAATGTTGATTTTAGTTTATTATTTAATTTTGGTTCTTGGTAATGAGAAACGGAATTTGCTGATCAATTCTTGGACTATTAGAATTTATAGAATTTTATAGAATCGCTTAGTTGTCATTTTTTTATTTGATTTTTATTTACGAATTTTAATTACAACTTTAATTTACTCATTTTTATTTTCAACTTTTTATTTATTTTTTGTTGTTTTATTTATTTTTAAGTTTTTACTTACGAATTTTTATTTATCATTTTTAATTTGATAATTTTTATTTATATATGAGTTTTTAATTATAAATTTTATTTTATTTTTAATTACGAATTTTCAAATATTAATTAACGAATTGTAAAATCCAATTTTTAATTTCTGAATTTACAAATTAATAATTATTAATAATTTTTTACAAATTATTAATTTACAAATTTAATTTAAAAATTCTAATTTATTTAAAAATTTTAATTTTCTATTATACAAATTGTAATCTATTTTAATTTGTAAATTTACAAATTATTAAATAACAAATTTAATTTTCCAATTTTAATTTATTTAAAATTCAATTTATTTAAAATTTAATTTATTTATAATTCAATTTATTGACAATTTAATTTATTTAATAAAAAATTCAATTTATAAATTTTAAGTTACAAATTTACAAATTTTAATGTAAAAATGTTATTCATTATCTTTTAATTTGTAAATTTACAAACGTTATAATTATAATTTTAATTCAAAAATTTTCAAATTTGAACTTACAAAGTGTAAATTGCAAGTTTCAATTTGTAAATTTACAAATTTTAATTTACAATGTTGCAAATTGCCAAGTTTTAACCTTTAAAGTGTAAATTTCAAGTTTTAATTTATAAATTTACAAATTTTAATTCAAGAATTCACAAATTTACAAATTTTATTGTACAAAGCGTAAATTCCAAAGCCTAATTTGTAAATTAAATTCATAAATTTAAAGTTACGAATTTACAAATTTACAAATTTACAATTTTTAAATTTTAATTCATAAGTTTTAATTTACAAATGTAAATTCCATATTTTAACATTTTTAACATACAATTTTTAATTTATTTAGTATTTGAATTGAAAACAATAAATTCTAAATTTTAATTAAAACATTTTTAATTATTCATTAAAATTTTACTTTTTACTTCAAAGTAGACAATTATTTCTATATTCTACATGAATATAATTTATAATTAATGAAACTTAATGTAATTAACTCTAAATGCAATTAAAAAACAATTGAATAACCATTTTTTGAGAGAGAATTAATATACAGAAAGGATGAGAGAAATGCTTTGTGTTCATTAATCCAAATATTTAGTGTTTTGATTGTCAAAGCTAAAAATGACGCAATATGTGACGCGCTCGTATAAGCAAAGAGAAATAGAGAAAGGGAGAGAGAGAGAGAAAAGATAAATATGAGAAGTGTCATTCATATCAGACTCTATGCACGCATAGATAGTGCACGTGTATATAGTGCATTGTGCAACAATGTGTCACGTATCGCTATTAAAAAGTGTCTCATATTTTCGTCGAATGAAGATGCGCTTTTATATATTTAATATACGTTTATAATAATCCATTGACACATTATGATTCATCTTCCGAAAAATAATTTTTCCTTTTCGAAAATTAAAATTAATAAAAATTCCCAGAATGAATATGAGGAAAGTATTAAATTTTATTACCGGGATTTTTTTTTAATTTACTCTCTAAATTTAAATTTGTAAAAATGCTTACTGATTTGAATTAGTGACAGACTTTTTGCTTTTTAATTATAGTAAATTTTACATTCCTGAAGTTAGCGTCGACGCTCAAAGTCGAAAAGTATTATTTGAGGTTTTTAGAGATGAAAATGGCATTTATTTCCCTAGGGAGTTAAAAAACATTTTTCGACGCTTATCATCGATGCCAACTTCAGGAACGTTAAATTTTACTAATAAATTAGTAGGAGTTGCTATTTATTTGTAAAATTTACTAATTCAAATTTAGGGAGTATACTTTTGCTTTTTATTACAAGCAATAATTTTTTAAAATGTTTAAATCTGTAAAAAATTTAATTTATTTGAACATTCTGAATGTATTTGAAAATCACAACAACAATAATAATTTTTTAAATCTTTTTGTTTATATTTTATAAAATAGACGGGCCCTAAAAGTAATTATTACAGTTATAATAATATTAGTAATAATAATAATAATAATAATAATAATAATAATAATAATAATAATAATAATAATAATAATTATTATTATTGTAATAATTATAATAATTATAATAATAGTTATTATTGTTGTTATTATAAAATAATAGTTGTTTCTTGTGAGTTTATAATGAGGGGGAAAAAAAGAGTTGGTGTGTGTCACCAGCAGAGATGATAGTAGTGATTACGTTGAAGATGTAATTTTTAAAGGATAATTCAAGTGCGAATGACATAATATAAGTATAAGACCGTCGTGCCCTTCGCTTTGAATTCACTCGTTTTATTACGCATATATATATATACCGTTTTTACTTTGCGAGGTTGAAAGAGTTCTGCAAATTAGGCCGTGGCCCACTTTTATGCATAACGATAGATAGTCTAGCGGCGAAGAAGTGTGGGAGGGAACCAAGAGTTTCAAAAGAGGGGACACTTTTATTTTAACGTTGAAAGTAGGGTGGGGGGGAAGGGGAAAATGAAAAAAAGAAAGATTCCTCTCTCTTCATCCAATTTAGAATAATCGATACAAATAATACCAATCATCTCCTTTCTATAATACAGGTATTCAGAGATTTCTGTAAACAAAAAGGAAAACCAAACAGAAAAGAAAGAAAATACTTGAAAGTAGTCAATTTTTAAATTTTTTTCTGATTTGTTAGAAATTATAATTTACAATATTTTATTATAATTTCGTATATTATGTTGAGATAAGAATATATCTTGAAAATTTAATTTACTGTTTTTGAAATCATGTAATATGTATAAGACATTGTTGAGTCTGTAACAGTCATTCATAAAGGCAATATAATCTTATCTGATGAAGATTAATTTTCAGTGTTACATAACTCTATATTATAGATCTGAATTCCTAAACATCTAAGAAATTTTTTTCCCAAAAAAAAAATTTACCAACAATTCCCCCAGGAGTAATAAATTTTCTATATTTACAATAATCAGGAAGTAGTTTTGATAGAAAAGGAGAAAAAAAATAATATTTATTTTGAATTTATTAATATTCTTTACAGCGATGAATTAGAAGTCTAAATTTATGGAAAAATCTTTCTTTAAAAAATGACGCGAGAATTTCGATTGATAATAGTTGCGTTTCCGCGGCCTCGAATGACGTAATTATTTCTTTATAACACATCAGGTATGTCGCAAGAAGCCTTCTTGCTCTAAGTGCCAGTAACCTTCTCTCCCTCTCTCTCTCACTCTCGCATTTTCGATTTTCAAAGATCTCATCTCGACAACATATGCACGTTTTTCCGGCGAAAACTTGTTTTTGTTGCCGGTTTCGTTTGGGAAAATTGTGTAAATATTTTCGTAATAAATTTTTATTTGGGGTAATTTGCGCTCTGTGTGTATTAAATTATTAATACCAATGAATTTGAATATAAATTTGTAATGATTTTATTTTGATTTCAGAGAAAAAAATTTCGGTGACGGGATTCGAACGCAACGGATGTACTCGACGGTTGGTGCCTTAGTCCGCGTGGCTAGTGTCTACCTTCAAGTGTTACAATGAAGTGGTGAGTTTCGCAACGCCTAATGAGTGAGTTTTTGAATTTCTATGAATTCGAATCAATTTTTTTTAAATTTAGATTAATTGAAATTAAGTTAAATTAAGTCTAAAAAAAAAAATGTTGAGCCAAATAAAAGAAGAAAAGCAAAAAAATATGAGAAGCAATCGTATTAGTATCTACTGCTTACGATTCTATATAAAATATTACAAAAGCGATACTTGAACCAACAGCTGACGGTTCTGACAGTGCAGTTTGCATATTATAAGTATGTTGCATTTATAGAAAAATTAAAATCTCAATAGTTTTTCTTTATATATTTTTATAAATGAAACAAAATGCCCCAATCACTTGTAAACAAGTGTTGGCTAAGTATGATTAACTCGATTGCGTCAAGAAATATATAGGTACATATATTCCAGAGTTATTCTTGCGTCATTCTAGATACAAGAATCTATATAGATCTACCGGTAATTCTCAATTTTTTCTTTTTGTTTTTAAACAATTTCTATTGTTTAATGATATTGTTTACTTGTTTTAACATATTCGTTTTCTTTTTGATCCTAAAAAACAAATTAGAGGGTAAAAATATTATTGAACGTTGACTAATAAAACAATAATTACACTTCAAGAAAAACACGTCATCGCGCACAATTTTGTTTATCGAAAATATTTCCATCGAACTCTTATCACGTTTCTTTAATTAAACTCCGTTGATTTTCATTCATTTATGTTTTTAAAAAAAAGACGGTTGCTTTTCCCGATTTTTGTTCTCGGTTCAGGGACAGAATAAAGGTGCAAATTTTTAGTGTTGATAAAATAAATCAAGTTAATAATTTTGTGAAAAATTGAAATATAAATACTTTTATTAATTACAATAATAATTACAATTAAATTTATTAAATTATTAAATTTATTTAACTGAATTTAAAATAAATTTATTGAATTTATTTAACTGAATTTAATTGAAGTTTATGAAATTTATTTATTTCAATTGAATTACAATTAAATATAGTTCTACTTCATTTATTTTGAAATCGGGTTTGATAATATTGGCTTTTAAAAAAAATTTACGTGATCTAAATAATATAATTTTTGTACAATATTTATTAAAATTGTTTCATTTCATTTTATTTATTTATAAAACTTTATAGTTTAAATAAATGTCATTTGTTGACTCATCACTGACCGAGATTCAATTATATTTGAGCGATTAATGTGTCAGTTTTTTAGTGATACTAATCTTTATTATAATAATAAAAAATGGAAAAAAACAATAAAATAATTAAAAGTACGTGAAGAGTGAGTGAAAGAAACGTGATAAAATGTTTAAACAAGTTTGGAAAATTTAAATCTTGATTTTTAAATGTAATGTAAATCATGATTTTAAAGAAAAAGGAGATAATTTTCATTTGATTTATTTTATTTTTTTTATATCATTGAGAAAAAAATATTATTTCTTTTTCTTCGCATAAAATCAAATTACCAATTGCTAAATCGTTTATTACAGTAACAATTCTTGAAAATCGCATGAACCAACCAAAGTTTTCATAAACTTTTCGAATACCGGGAAATATATATATGTGTGATGACGAACTAATTGCATATTCGACATATTTTTGTCATTATAATGCAATAATAGTTACCTATCGTGAAATTAATATATATACGATACCGAGAATTAATGGCTGCTAAAAAAAAGTGTTTGAAATTTGAATCAGAGAGAAAGACCGGAAATTTGAAGCGAAAGGAACAGAAGTTATAAATATTTTTATAAAAACGTGGAAAATAAAAAGATTTATCGCCTTTTTGATAGGATTTGTTTTCATTAATTCGGAAATTAAAATGGAAATCGAAAATTCGTGTTATTGACAGAATTTATTAATTTTAAGGAAATTTAATTAACAAAAAAAAATATTTAATAATGAAACGAAAATTTGTGTTATTGACGGAGTTATTAGACTATAAGGAAATTTAATTTTAAAAAAATAATTATGAACTATTTTGTTAACCATTTTTTAAATTTTTTAAGATTTCTAACAATTTTTAACATTTGTTTATCATTTTTGGTTATTTTTAACTAAATGATTAAAATAATGATTGAGATTAAAAAAATTATTAACAAAATGATTACAGTAATTTTCCCAATAATCATTTCTTTAAAGTTTTGAACTTTTGAATAACCGATGATTTTTTTGTCACTTCGGTAATTTTTTATTTTGTTACAAAAATTATTGTTTTTATACTAAAAGTTCAAAACTGTAGAGAATTCAATAATTTTCGATATTTACTTTCAAATTTTGCATGAGTTTTTTAAAAGTAAGAAAAATATTTTGAATAAGTTTAGGTGGAAATAATTTTAATTGCAATTAAAAATAATTATTAGAGAAATTAAAATTTCTTCCTCGTATCTTCATGAGAAATTTTATCTTTGTTAAAATCCAAAAATGATAAGTTTTGACTTTTCATATAGAAATTAAAAAAAAAAAATTCTTGATTTGAGAAAAAATAAACTTCCTATAGTCACGTGTCGAACCGGCATATTTCAAAACTCGCGGCTTCAAGACACCAAAAAAATAAAAAAGAATCGAGCGTCAAAATCCAAAAATTTAAAATTAATGTGAGTTAATTTATCCAGACTCACCAATTTTGAAAGGTTCCTTTAAGCACGACTTCACAAAAGAACTGGAATCCACTTTTGCGAATTACTACCAGTTCCCAAAGTATTTGTAAAAAAGTAGAGTTTTTCGGAAACAAAAAAATATTCACTTAATTCACTCAAAGAATCAAAATCTCAGAGGAAACTTTTTCTTTTCGAAATCCAATAGAAGAAAAGAAAAATCACAGTTTTTTTTTATTTCTCCCGTTTCTTTATAATCGAAAATGATGCAGTAGAGCTGCGGACACTTCCTCTGTTAGGGTTCAATGTTTTGCACTTGACCCTGGTCCTCAGTGTAGAAAAATTCTTCTCATATTCCCAGATGAAAAAAACCAAAAAAGGGAAAAAATTTAATCCAAAATAAAGTTTTATCCACTTTTGGTTTTAAGGGATGCTGTGTGGCGATGATTGAATTGTACCGATAGAATTGTTACAACACTTTGAAGATGAAAAAAAAAAAGATTAATATATATGTATATATAACTTGGCGTATTACTTTGCCTCAACTTTGTTGAGAGGGAAATTGAAAAAAACACAACCGCTCGGTACAATGTCGCGCTTGGAACTGAAACTGAACTGAAATCGTGCTGCCGACTTCGTCTTGGCCCCAATGTCGTCTGACTTGGGGTTTGATGAAGGGAAGGCCTGTGTATTGGACGCTGCTCGGTGTTCTTTCAAATCTGTGTTGGCTTTCATGTTCACTGCCTTTCTCTGATAGTGTGTTTTTGTATTTTCTGTCTGTGTGCATTCTGCTTGTTTGTATGTAACGGTGTTTTATGTGTTCAGGATCATGGTATGAGTGGGAATTGTGTGTGTGTGTGTGTGTTTCGATGGCACGTAGGTGGGTGGACAAAATAGTGGGGGCAATACTCGAGTAGTCAGGTGGGGGAGTTTATGCCCCTCCAACATTAAACCGCGGTTCTCTTTTGCGTCAGAGAAAGAGATGGAGAGACGCGCCCCACTATCATAACACACTACATGTCTTCGACATCGCGGACAACGCAACGAGCCATACAACTAATTAGATTGCGTCGTGTCGCGATGCCGTGCGCCACACACTAACTCCATTCTTCGATCACACTTTTTACGACGATATGACACAACTTTGTCTCGAGTGCAACAATTTCTTCTTGTTTTTTTTTTCTTTTCTTTAGATATATGTATAATATGTACACATCAATAGTCACATAATAGATGGGATTTTAATTTTATTTGTTTATTTGTTTCTTTTCGATCTATTGATGGGAATTATTTATTCTATGCATTTGAATATCTAGTTTTTCTAAGGATATTAAATTGAGACAAAAAACGTATCAAAACGTTGCTTCGCAACTATTTTGATACGATTTTTGTCTCAATTTGATATACTTAGAAAAATTGTATTCGTTTTGATAACAAGTAAATTTTTGTTCCAAGTTAACATTGGTTCTAATATTCAAATTAATTTTAGTTTCAAGTTGATTTTGTTTCCAACTTAGTTTAGTTCCACGTTAATTTTGCTTTCAAGTTTACTTTGGTTTCAGATTAATTTAGTTTCCAAGTAAATTTTGTTTCCATGTAAATTCTGGTTGCAAGTTAATTTGGTACTATTTTTATTTTGTTACCAAGTAAATTTTGGTTCCAAGTTAATGTTGGTTCCAAGTTAAGTTTTGTTTCAAGTTGAATTTGTTTCCAAGTTAGATTGGTTCCATGTTAACTTTGCTCTCAAGTTTATTTTGGTTCCAAGTTAATTTGGTCCTAAATTTTTTTGTTACCAAGTTAATTTTGTTTCCAAGTAAATTTTGGTTCCAAAAGTTAACTTTGGTGTTAAGTTTGGTTTCAAGTTGTTTTTGTTTCTAAGTTAGTTTAGTTCCATGTTAACTTTTCTTGCAAGTTTACATTAGTTCCAGATTAATTTTGTTTCTAAGTTAATTTGGTACCAAGTTTAGATTGTTTCCAAGTAAATTTTGGTTTCAAGTTAATTTGGTACTAAGTTTATTTTGATAACAAGTACATTTTTGTTCCAAGTTAACTTTGGTTCCAAATTAATTTTGTATCCAAGTTAATTTGGTACTCATTTTATTTTGTTACCAAGTAAATTTTGGTTCCAAGTTAATTTGGTACTAAGTTTATTTTATTTCCAAGTAAATTTTGGTTCCAAGTTAATGTTGGTTCCAAGTTAAGTTTTGTTTCAAGTTGAATTTGTTTTCAAGTTAGATTGGTTCCATGTTAACTTTGCTCTCAAGTTTATTTTGGTTCCAAGTTAATTTGGTCCTAAATTTATTTTGTTACCAAGTTAATTTTGTTTCCAAGTTAAGTTTGGTTTCAGATTAATTTTGTTTCCAAGTTAAGTTTGGTTTCAGATTAATTTTGTTTCCAAGTTAAGTTTGGTTTCAGATTAATTTTGTTTCCAAGTTAATTTGGTACCAAGATTATTATATTTCCAAGTAAATTTTGGTTCCAAGTTAATTTAGTACTAAGTTTATTTTGTTACCAAGTAAATTTTGGTTCCAAGTTATCTTTGGTTCCTAGTTAAGTTTGGTTTCAAGTTGATTTTGTTATCATATTAACTTTGCTTTCAAGTTTACTTTGGTCCCAAGTTAATTTTGTTTTCAAGTTAATTTGGTACCAAGTTTATTTTGTTTCCAAGTAAATTTTGGTTCCAAGTTAATTTGGTACCAAGTTTATTTTATTTCCAAGTAAATTTTGGTACCAAGTTTAATTTGTTTCCAAGTCAATTTTGGTTCCAAGTTAAGTTTGGTTCCAGATTAATTTTTGTTTCCCAGCTAATTTGGTATCAAGTTTATTATACTTCCAAGTAAATTTTGGTTCTAAGTTAACTTTGCTTTCAAGTTTACTTTGGTTCTAGATTAATTTTGGTTTCATGGTTATTTGGTACCAAGTTTATTTTATTTCCAAGTTATTTTTGGTTTTAAGTTTATGTTGGTTCCAAGATAATTTTAGTTCCAAGTTAATTTTGGTTCCATGTTAACTTTGCTTTCAAGTTTACTTTGGTTCTAAGTTAATTTTGTTTCCAAGTAAAGTTTGCTTCTAAGTTCATGTTGGTTCCAAGAAAATTTTGGTTCCAAGTTAATTTTGGTTTCAAGTTAACTTTGGTTCCAAGTTACAGTAATAAATGGAAATCATAACAGATGGAAATTGTAATAGACGGTAATTATAATAAACGGTAATTATATTTACTGGTGACAATAATTAACACCTTTAATTGAAGAGAGTTACAATTAAAGCCAATTGTAATCATCAGTAATTAGAATCAATGGTAGTTATTAATAATTTTTATCAATGGTTAGTAAATAATAGATAAGTTAGATAAATCAGTAATCGACACTAATTTTTTTTTGTCCAATCTATATGAACTTATTTTTCAAAAACAAAAATGCAACGAATTTAAATTTTTCCCCACTCCGAATCGGATTATTTTTAAAGATTAAATCACAAATTGATGAATGTGTTTGTGGGTGTGAATGTGCTCGCTCTGTAGGTTTTTGTCATCTTTTTTCCTTTTTTTTCATTCTGTTTTTCTTTTTTTTTTTATTGTAATTGTAGAAACATTAAATGACTGGCATTAATCGTTAAACAAACATCGCACAGGTTCTCGAACCTGGTCCGGGACTTTCAACCGATTCGTTGTCGATAAACAGCTTGAAAACAAAGAATGGGAGTTGGGTTGGCCAACCAACTACATCTCTCGCTCCCTAAGTTCGTGCCAAACACCCAGACAACGAGGGCATCAGCCCCCATGAATCACCACGCGGCGCACACAGGTCACCTTCACTTTTTTATGTAATTTTTGGTTAACTTGCGATAATATCTTCTCGTTGACCGGACCAGGAATTATTTTTTCTTTAGATTCTTGTTGTTTATTTCTTTTGTTGTTGCATTTTGGTATTTTTTTTTGTTTTCGATTAAAAAATGAAGAAATAGTTTGTTCTTATTTTTTTAATATAATTTCCATTTATTATAATTTATAATTGTTACAGTTATCGTCTATTATAATTACCCTTTATTATAATTACCGTCCATTAAAATTTTTTAATTAATTAATTAAGGACTATTATAATTACCGTCTATTACAATTATCGTTTATTTTAATTACCGTCTACTATTAAAATTATCTTTAATAGTCAACTTTGAACTATATAACTATTGATTATAATTACTACGTATTAAAATTGTTAATTAGTACCACTAATAATTAATTACCGTCAATTATACTATCCCGATTATAATTAACAAGGGAAAACAACTACCATCCAAGTTATAAAAAAGTTAAATTATTTTTAAATTGAAACAAAAAGAAATTAATCGATAAATTTTTTTTTATGAAGTGAACGACTCTTTTTTAATTTAAATAAATATTTTTAGAATTTGTTTAAAAATTTGACGAAATTCTGAAGTGTTATTAACCTATTGCATTTGGTATTTTGTAAGCGTTTTTATACGTATGGCAGATGTGACTATTTGCCAGGTTGATTAATACAAACATATAATAGACATTCATAAAATTCGGTTTTAAATATAAATTTTGGCAGCTAATACTGACTTTTGTTTCAATGTACGCACAAAATTGTCACTTTCTTATCGAGCAACAACCCACCCTGTATTTAAGAATTATTTTCAAATAGACGCACGTGTCACATACAGAATATATACACTCGCACAATGTGAAGCGTGCTTTTTGTTAAAACATATTTTTTTATGTTTGCGACACTTTCATCCATCTTCATCAGTTTGCGATTTGTTTTGGCGTGAGGTTTTAAGCGCCACACGTATATATATATGTATATTCTTCAATATGTATGTGAGAGATTTCAATATGTACCTTGATGCAGTAATTTCTTTTTTATTTCTTTTTAGACAAGTATATAGAATATGGTGAGAGAGAGAGAGAGAGAGAGAAGTCTCGACAACACTCTTTGTGCGCAGAAACTATTTCTAAACTTCTTGCTCTTCTGTTATACTTTTGTGAACGCAAAAAACTTGAAACTTTCATCGAGAGCCAAATTATAATTTGCCCATGTGCATTGCACATGCTTTTCGTTCTTACACGTGGCAAATGGAATTTCTTCACTTAAAAATCTGGATAATTTCAAAAAAATTATGATTTTTTCCACTTGTTAATTATATTCACTCGTATTTTATTTTCTCTTTGCAAAGATTGCAATTTTTTAATTATTATTTCAGGATTGCCATAGGTCAGGAAAATCAGGGAAAAGTCAGGGATTTTTATTAGGGTCCGTCCATAAACTACGTTACCAATTCTTCAGACTTTTTAGACCCCCTCCCCCCTCGTTACCAATACGTTTAACGTATATATCAAAAGTTATGACGCAATTATCTTAATAAATAAAATTCTTTACTGAAATTTAATTATTATTATTATTATTATTATTATTATTAATTATTATTTATAGGAATTTTAATAAAATTCTTTGCAAAATTCAATTATTTTCATAAATAACAATATTCATCACAAAAATTTAATTATTTTTAAAAGTAATAAAATTCTTCAAAGAAATTCAATTATGTTTAAAAATTTTAACGAATTGCTCGTCAATAATTCAATTATCTTTATAAATAACAAAAAT